AGCGGTGTCCGGCAGTCGGAGCAGACAAATGACCCACAGTTGTATGTACTACCCGGTACCTAGATTTGTGTGGGGTACAGGGCCACATGTGGGATGTGGATGTACGGCCGTTTTGATTGGGTGTTAGTGGCTTAATTATGGGCCCCTCTACGTTACCAGTACTTCCGGCGTTCGGATTGGATTGCGCGCGCTAAGTTAATCACTGATGACTCTTAAAAAAAAAAAATTTCAGCACCTACATAAACAACCCTGGCGACCAGTCACCCACCTCCAGACATCACATCAAATCCACCACGATTATCTCCCCTCGAATTAAATCACATCAATTCAAATCAAACAAAACATAGTTCCTCAATCGACCTCCTCCACCACCAACCGGTAATTAGCGAGAGAGCTGGATTGTAGAGCTCGTCACGGAGCCGCCCCTCCACACCGTACCTACAGCTCCCCATCGTCGCTTGAGCGGCCTACTGCCGAACATGTCCCTCACCAGCAACAACACGTCGAATCCTTACTCGAGCATCAGCGACCTCCTCAGCAATGTGCGCAACTTCAAGATCATCGAGTCAACCCTGAGGTATGAGAAGAAGCAGAAGTCGAGCGCAGAGGACATCAATTGACCAGGATAAAGGGAGGGAGAGCAATTCGCCAATGCATTCTTCACAAGAGAAACTAAGATCAAGATGTATGTGGAAGGCGGAGTCTACGTCTTGGTTTCTACTCGCTAACGTGACGCCATCTTGCCCGTAGTGCGACAATGCTGTATGGTGCCTCGTTGCTCCTGCTGTTCGAACACCAATAGTAACCTGACCAGTTCGGAATTCGGCGTCGACTACATCGAGCTCACGAACCCCTGTGCCAGCGTAAATCATATCTGTTGCTTTCCGTTAGATCTCAGCGCTGACCAACTGCAGCCATCATCTCGCGCCGACTGCGAAGCCATCTGCAAGCTCGGCCTCAAGGTACGCATCAAGAATAATTACATTGAACAGACTGAAACGCGTACTAACGACACAACAGGCCAAAATTCTCACCCGTTCGTGAACTCCTTGTAGCTCTGGTTGTGGTCAATCTACTAACAGCCATGTCAGACACAAGATGTACTTTGGAAGTAAGTCGCACCCAAAAAGCACGACGTTGCAAAGACCTCAGATATGGATCGTAGTTGTAGCTAGCGATCGGAGGCCGGTCAATATGTCGACCCGTCAGTGCGTCCTTACATGTACGCGGCTAACATGTGCTCCAGGATGCCAAGGTTGCGGTATGCGCCTCTAAACCCGAATTTAACTGCACATGACTAAACCCCCCAAGTGTGACTGTGGAGTTGATGGTGTAGATGTTGTGATCGGAACGAGCCGTGAGTACATATACCCAGTGTATACCTCTCGTCCATGGACTGACTTGCAGGAATCAGAATTCCTCCGAGAGCATTCCCTCGGTGGCAAGGATATGACCGCCATTACCAAGCAGGCCATCGAGGTCATTGAGTATATCAAGAGGTATGCGTACCACTAATTTGGTCAGAAATGGGTGCTAACAGTTGCTCAGTCGAGGCTGCGAGGTTCGCTTCTCAAGTGAAGATTCTTTCCGGTGAGTGCGGTCTCATACGTCCCACCATGCCTATCCCTTTCATCGACGGATCAATTTATTCTGCTTGAAAAGACATGGCCTTTGCAGAGCCATGATGAGCAAGATCTAGAGGAGAGCGCAGGATGTTCATAAGCACACTGAGCTCTCTCTCCAAATGGGTCATTGGCTTATGAGTCTCTCGGTTGCCAGGCTGAACAAAGCGAGAGAAAGACTACATGACGTCCCCTCCTCCAAAGGCTTCGCTATTTGTGTCTGTCTTGGCGGTGTTTTGGGGGGGCTGGCCGACTACTCTCAGCAGTCTCGCTAACGTATAGAAAGGTCTGATCTGGTCGATTTGCTCTCAATCTACCGCGCAGTCAACAATATCGGCGTCAACAGAGTCGGCGTGGCAGATACCGTTGGTTGTGCTTCTCCACGACAGGTCTACGTAGGTGATAGTTATCATCTTCAACCTGCCCAGTGCTAACTACCCACAGGACCTAGTCAGGACCCTTCGAGGTGTTGTCTCGACCGATATCGAGGTTCATGTATGTGCTGCTGTGAATTTTCGCATGCCACTGTGGCTGATCTAGTACAGTTCCACGATGATACCGGCTGTGCTGTTGCGGTTCGTTACGTCTTCTGAAACCTACCCCGAGACGAGGAAACTGACCATTTCAAGAACTCATTCACTGCCCTTGAGGCTGGCGCTACACACGTTGACACATCTGTGCTCGGAATTGGTGAAAGAAATGGCATCTGCCCACTTGGGGCTCTCGTGCGTCAACCTTTTACTCTCTGGGAATCTGACCGTGGTCTGACTTGACGAAATCCCAGATGGCCAGAATGATGCCGACCAGCAGGGATTACGTTCTCTCGAAGTACAAGCTCCACCAACTTAGAGAAATTGAAGACTTCGTCGCAGATTGCGTTGAGGTACCTCACACCCAGCTTGCCTCTGCCGCAGCCTGTCTTGCAAGCTGTCAAGCTAACGGCGTCTTAGATCAACGTGCCATTCAACAACCCAATTACCGGTATGCCATTTGTTTTTCTGCTACAGCATTGCCGTTTTACTAACAAGAACCATAGGGTTTTGCGCATTTACGCACAAGGTATATACCACCTGTGAAGCCTGCTGGTTATCTGACTAACGAGATACTAGGCTGGTATCCATGCCAAGGCAATCCTTAACAATCCGTCCACGTATGAGATTCTCAAGCCTGAGGATTTTGGTCTATCAAGGCAAGTTACATCACTTGTTCCCCGCGTACTCAGAACTAATACCTGTGCAGATAGTAAGCTAAAAAAAGGATAATCCTGCAGCCTTGACACTAATCATCATATCGCAGTGTGCACTTCACATCTAGACTCGTGGGGTGGAATGCGATCAAGAGCAGGGTGGATCAACTTGGTCTGAAGATGACTGACGCCCAGGTTAAGGAATGGTAAGTTCTAGCCATTTCTTCTGGAATTCTAATTACTCACAGTTCCCTTGCAGTACGGCCAAGCTGAAGAGCATGGCTGATCTCAAGGTGATGACCCTTGACGACAGCGATGCCCTGATCAGAAGCTTTCATCTTGAGCTACAAAATGGAGCGTAGTCAAAATAGACTAGGAAACTTAGCTACACAAAAGTCATTCTCAGCGGGCCCAAGCAGGTTCATGTGAAGCACAGGGTGAATTTTCATGCTTGCGGGCAGTTCCAGTCTGTAGGCATGCGGGGACACAGCTTCCTGCACCTTCAGCAGTCCAATATTCTTCCAGTCCAGCTTCTTCTAGGGGCGTAATGTTTGTCAGTTCCAGGTGTCCAGCCACGCCAGATCAGTTTGGGCGGTACGTGCGCGCGGGTTGGCGTTTCTCGTTTGCTTGATTCTCGTATCGGGCTTGTGGAGCGGCGGATTCAGACTGCACGTAGTACTCATTGATCTGTCCCGTCATCTTCCGGCCGAAGCCTTCTGCATCTCGGCTTGCAGTGGTGTTGGCAGCAGGGCAGTCAGGCTCAGATATATTGCAGCTCTAACAGAAACCCTCAAGGCTTTGTTCGAGCCTTCATATAAAGTTTTTTTTCCCCAAAAGAACCCGTTCTAATTCGACTTGGCGAGGACATGCGCTTTATTCAGCCTCTAGGCACTGTTTGCGTGAACTTGATGGCTAGAGGGCGACTCTTCTTTAGAGATACTAATCTTATTCCCTCCCTTTTCTACCTCCTTTTCAGAATTGCCATATACAAGCCTAAACCATAGAGACATAAATAAAGGTGGGTGACAGGAAGGCACCAAATTTCGCAAAGCAGCTTCCTAGTTAGCCTTCATAATACACTTAAGCAAATAGGTCTTTTCCAGCTCGATGATAACTACTTTCGTCGTTTGCATACTCATAGGAACATTGGCATTTTGGCAAGAAGAGAACCAAAAGGCAGGTGGACTAACTCTTCACATAGACATTCCTTACTAGACACTCTCATAGGGCTGCTTCTTCCGTTTTGGTTTGGCGAGCCGCACTGCGTACCACGCCGTAATTATCATCAGTCAGCACGGCCATTGCCTAGGCAGTAGCTATGGCTTATCAAAAGAGTTGTAAATTGATTGCGTCCAGGAAAAAGTTGTCGCAATTGCTTGAAAGACTTTCAGGTATGAAAATGGCCAATGAGAGACGGCCCAGTAGCTTTTAGGCCAGGCTCGTGGCCATCACCGTCACAGCCATAGACTGCATAAGGAAGCCATAGACATGGCTTCCCGCCAATCTGCTAAAGACTGGTGATATGCAGCGTTTGCAGATGTGCCAGGGGCTTTGCATGATGTGGGTACTGTTAACACCAAGCGACCATGCGCCCCGCCAGGAGATGTACTTAAACTTGAAGCCATGCGCCAGCCAAAAACAGCAGTTCCAAACGACGGTACATGTAGTCTAGGTGGAGCATCCCTCCTGGCCCTCCTCGTTGCCCCTCCTTAGCTAATGCGGGGGTTGATTGAGTTATAGCGGACAAGCCATTGACCCACTTCCCGGACAATATACTTCCGGGCCTCTTCCGGCCGTTCGGCGACGGCCGGCTAGCTCTGTCATGCATTATCAATCTCCTTTCCCTCGATCCGGCTCCTATGAGGCCGATAGTAAGAAATGGAAGCCTCTAGCTACGAAGCGAATAGATCCGAATTTGGTCAAAGAAGTCGCGCAAGCGTTATTGAATGCAAAATATCCTCTTGTTTTCAAATCGGAAGTGTGGCTGCTGTGGCTAAAACTTGTTAAGTTCTGTGAGCGTAGGTACTGCTGTGCCGGTGAGTCAACACGTCCATCCAAATCCAAGCGCATTGAGCAGAGCTTTAGGAAGCTATGCCTAGTTACCTAATACAGTGTTCAGCAAGCTTAAATCACTTTGCGGTTGTTCGTAAACAATCGCACGGTCGTTGCGACGCACCACATTGCACTGGGCTGATAGCTTGAGGCGGTTGTACACGAATAAACTCTAGGCACATGACTGAGCCGTAGGATTCCGATGCTTCGGACTCCCCAAGTGAGATGGACTGGACCACTCAGCCATTCTCGCCTACCGTTCACTCAATACAAGAAATCTGCACCGCATGTCGAGCCTTCGAGGTGGTCGGCTTTTCCAATTGAGGACGGTCCCTTTCTGCAATTGTACAAGGCCACCGATATACGTACCGGGCTTCGGCGTGGAGTAACCCTGCTGAAGATCTCCGAATTCCGGCTGTGCCCCTTGCATGAATCATCCCTGCATTCTGTCTGTCCAGTCCTTCGGGATTTGGTTGGCCTGTCTTGATTGACGTAAGTCACTCCGTGATAATGGAAAAACAAACATGTTTGTCTCTGCGATACACCGGGACGGCCATGTCTACTAGCCAGTAGTAATACATATGGGAGCCCTGATTGATGACTCTCCGCCAATTAAAGACATGAGATTCTATACAGCAGTAAACCCACAGCAGTAGTGCCTTAAGTCGCGCTTTCTTGACATATTTTCTTGGAAAACCCCATTCATTCATACAGGCAAAATCAGATTTGTTACGACCTAATCCAACCAGCCATTCAATATATAATTTATATTGTGAGACATCCCGAGCATACTAAGATACTTGACATGAAGTGAAATCCTGGGCCAAAAAAAAAAAAAAAACAGATAACCACTAGTAGTACACTAATTTGCGGTTCTTTGCATCGTCATGCTGAGAGCATGCATCAAATAACACAATTGTTCAGTAGACGGCGGAAGAACAGCTCTAGACGGATACTTGCTCCTGGTGGCCTGTATGCATGTTTGCATCACTGCATCCGTCGACTGGATGGAGATCACAGGCGGTCTGTCCGGCTCGCCGCCGGAGACGGCAGTAGAGATGACTGGCCGCCCTCTGTCGAAGGCGATCCACCGTTGTGTCTCCAGCGACTCCTCCCCATCTAGTATGATATCTTGCACTCTGGGCTGATGAGCTTCTGTTGGTAGCCTACCGTGCCTCCTGGTTGTGATAATTCCATATGCCCACAGGCAGAGGCTACCGTGGTAGAGCGCGACGCAGTGGAAGTCATTCATCGTCTCAGGTGGCAGGGCTCTGACCAGCTTCAAGATCTGCCCGGCCCGCCAGACGGCTTGGCGAGCCTCGCCGTTATCTATCCATCGCTGCAAGATGGAATAGGACGCCTGGGCTTCCTCGAAGCCTTCCTTCCCGGCGAGGAGCTCCATTTGGTCGATGGAACAGTGAAAGTGCAGTAGAAGCAGCTCGAACAGTAACATGATCGAGAAAGACGTCTCCGCGTTGCTTTCACACAGCCTGAAAGTCTGATGTAAGCTCTCAAATACTTTGAGCAGCCAGAGGTATTGGCTGTCGTCCGGCAAGACACTCTCCCGAGGTTTGAGCGGCATGCCCTCAACTGTCCCTAGGGATGCGATCTTAAGGCGGCGGTAGCTTTGAACCATCGAAGCAATCCCATGCAACACCGTTATATATGCAATGTTTGCATCATACAAGCTGGGCAGATGGCGGAGACATGTTAGGTCTGCAAGACAGTCAATCATGGAAACGTGATGATCGCTATCAGAGACCTGGGACGTGAAGAAGGCCTCCTTCCAGCCTGTTGCGGTCCTTGCGAACCATAGATGGCGCGACTGAGGAAAGGACAGAAAAACCTCGGCGGTTGAGAGCGGCGACGGGGCTGACGTTAGGAATGAGTCTTGACTGCAATGGATAATCATATGGTATACGAGCCTATTGGCGTCAGAGAAGGGTTTCAGTTGATCACAAGCACTGGTGTAGCTGACTTATCGCACCTTTTCATAGACTCCTGCTCTAACCAATTCCGCCACTTCTTTTCCAGTGTAAGCCCACACTCATCCGGCAATGGCAACATTGGAACGTATGCAGAACGGCGAAAACGGCCACCTGCCCGTAGCATCTGTTGCAGCATACATATATGTCAGCACGTCGCGTAGCCCAAGTCATCAAGACTGGAGAGGGACTGGGCGCAACCCACGTTTGCTAAATTTCCCATGCTACCTCCCGCGATCTCCATTTTACGCTTGTTGCCGCTCCAGAGACCAATCTGAACCTCCAGCGCGTACGCCTGTAGGTACTGCAGCTCTCTGGTAAGAATGGGTTCTCTTTGCGCCTAATCGAAGAATGTCAACAATACAGAGAAGCAGGAGTTCAAGCTAGGGAGCCGCTACCATATTTCTAAGTTGTATCTGAAGAATCTCGTGGACGGCCAGTCCAAATTTCTGCACGGCCCGGCTCGGTGACCGGACTGCCCCAGCTGCGACGATGGCGGCCAGCAACTCGACCTTGACGTCGTTGACCGAGAAGGTCGGGACATGGATCCATGTATCCTCTTGGCTCATATGCCAGGCTAGAAAAGACCTCACCAAACGGCCTAGACCGTCGCAGGACGGAAATGCTGCCGCAACCCGAGGCACTTCCAGCGGCTGACAGGCGCTGGCCATCATGGCCAATAGCCGGTCACGAGCCGCAAGTGGGAAGCCATCTGGCAGCAGTCCGGAGTCCCAGCGGTCAGATTGGTCTGTCGTGATGTCTGTTCCGTGTGTTGCAGAGAGATTCTTCTCCTCCTCGGCCTGGAGATCGCCGGCTGCAGCCGGAACCCAGCGGCCCGTAGCCTTCCTAAATGCGTCTATGACTACGAGGGACTTCTCCTCGTCGACGACAGGGCTGATTGAAAGTGGACTGGGGAGAGCAGCCGGGCTGATCTCGACGTTCTTATCGAATCCGAAGAGGTCTGGAGGTGGCGAGAGGAAATTGGTTCGTTCAAAGTCATTGTCGCCCCCGAAGTTGAAATCATTCTGCACAAGGTTCAGGTCCCAGTCGGCGTAGGACATAGCTCTAAATGTTTCGTCCGAGAACCCCGTGAGGCCGTCTGATGGTGGCGGTGGCGGTGAGAATTGAGGCGTCAGGTCTGCTGTTTAAAGATATTATCAGCTCTGTTCCAAGCACCGGAACAACTTCTTACGAGCTTCAGTAGCCATGACACTGATGCTTGGTGTTCCGGCGCGCATGTTGTCAGAGCGTGTTTGCGTTTGCTGAGGCATCTCCTCGGGTAAGATCACATCGCGAGCTGGGTTCGTCAGCCTCTCCGAGGCGAGTTGCCTAATGCAGGGCACATTCTTCTTTCGACAGCGTCTGCAGTGTCTGTCATTATCACACTTAGTTTTTGATGCTGCGCAGGACTGGCAGGCCTGCATGGCCCGCGGCCCAGCACGCGGGCGGGCTCGTTGATGTCTCGCTTCGGCCGACATGATGTTATCCTAGTCTGGCTTGCTACCCGGCTACCGACATCAAGACATCCTAGAACGTAAGATCAGCGACAGTGCATCCCTTTGGGTCTTCCCCACGCCATCCGTCTTACAGTTGGGGAATCCTAGCTAGTGGGAATGAAGGGAATGAAATCCGTTATTGACGGAGTGGATGTAGACCTTGTTTTGGGGGGGAGATAACGCGGGGCTCTCGCTACTCGCCAGCTTACTGTCTTATGTCCGAAAAGCGTGGGGCCCGGAGATGTACACGTACACGTACTGTGTTTGGAGGGAGTGGGAAGGCCTCCCAATCAGCATTGACGCTTTCCTGTGTAGCGTCCGCTTGATTTCCTACCCCACACTTTGACCCCGCGTTTTGTAATAGTAGCCCCGCCCTTCTCCAAATGGCAAATCCGAATGATGCTATGGTAGTGTAACACGGCACTTCCCTTGGGGTTCTCTCATGTGCTCTTCGCAGTGTACACATTAGGCACGATATTGCATGCAAAGATCGGCAGGCATACCAGTATTGTTTAGGCGTGCCTTTTTGTATGCTTTAGACAATTTACAACATCTCCCAAGCAAATTCCTTGTTCTTTGAAATTATGACATTGAAACAAGTCTGAAGCACAGGAATAATTACGTCTCATCGTAGTCCAAGCTACGGTAAAGGCAGGCAACCAACCAACTGCAGTCTCTCCAATCCGACGGTCGTAGGTCTTAAGGGCTTCTACACACAGATATAACGCCAAAGCTATTCCCATTAATTCACCTCAGAAACTCGGTCGCCCACCTGCAGGCCAAGCTTGCCAGCAGCCTCCTGAAAACGAGCCTCCCCCCACGACGCAGGCTTCTCCGGCAGGACAAATCCGGAAAATGTCTCGCCGGCAGTTTGAATGAGCTCCTCGATACCCTGCCCGTTGGTGAACGAGATTGCTCGTACATACCGACTTCCAAAAGCCACTGTGAAAGCCTGGCCGGCAGCAATTACAAGTGTCTGGCCCTCGTGCAGAACGTCCCATGCACCCTGCCCCTTCACTTTCACCTTCAATAATCCTTCGGTGACCACAAAACAGTGATCGACAGTCGGAAAGGTCAGCCACCGACTCAGAGGCGAGGGCTCGTTGAATGTGCTTGATCCCTCGATACTTGAAATAGCAAATTTCCCGCTACACTGGGATGCATTAATAAACGGCCGTGATATCACCCCACCCAGCAACCATCTCGGACCCGTGTTGGCGTGGAGGAAGTACGGTTCCAACGGCCCTGGCAGCTTGTTCTCAGAGTCTAACCACTCGCCTAGCTCCGGTGGTTTATAGTCTGGAACAAATTTCACGTCGAATTGATCTTTAGCGGCTATAACCTTGGGAATCAGTATGGTGCGGAGGTCACGCTCGTCAAATTCAGGTAAGATGATGCCCTTATAAGACTCGCCCACATATCTGAAGAAGTCGATCCAGTCACCGGGAGCAATAAGGCCTAGAGTCTCAGTATGGGGTCCTAATAATTCTGGGTTGTGGATGACTTTCTACTCGACATCAGGAACCTCTGCATTGGAGAGCTGGTGGCACTTACGGGAGGTACGTAAGCGAAGTCACCTGGTCCCATGATTCGGCACTTGTCCCCGTTCCAGAGTTTCAAGTATCCCTTCATCACATAGAATACATCGTGAGCCTCATCATGCCAATGGAAACCAGGCGCATCAGAGAGCACTGCACCGCTCTGGAAGACTGCTATTCTGCCATTTGTCTGTTTGGATGAGGCTAGGATGCGGAACGTGCCTTTGCTACCAGGAATTGAGACCCGCTCACCCTCGAGCTGGTCGATGATATAATTTGTCCGCGTAGCGGGCGGTGTGGTGAGAACGGGGATGCTCATTGTTACTTTAGGCCTTAAAAGGGATGGAATCTTCGAAATTCTTAGAACACTATTCAAAGCTCTAAACTAACTTATTTTGAATCAGGGAAGCAAAGGGCCAGATCAACGGAGTATGATGTTTCTATTCTACTAAACAACCCCCTGGTAGCTGAGGTTTAACAATGCTCTGGAGTTGTGAATACTTGTGTGACAGTGCAGGGCGCCAGAATGCGGGGAACAATATCATGCCGAGGGATTCGGGAATTCCGACTGCAGTTCTCTGGGCCATAGCGCCATGGCTTTCCCGTCGCAGGAAACATTTGCAGCTCGGCATTGCCACTGAAGGGCTGCCAGGAAAGTAATGCCACGCGCCAAAGCTGTCGCGTGTGCCTCGGATGATTTGCCAAGGTAATCATGGCATCGTGACTGGCTAATGCATTCGCCTTGCACATCTTCAACCACTTATTCTTCCCTGCTTTAGTCCGACAATAAATAAAAAAACAAAGCTTCAGGACGTTTAGGTCATGGCGGGCCCTCAGCCACTTCGAGTGGTCTATTAAAACCATTGTGAAAGCAAGAAATAGACGCCGAACTATTCATAACGAAATCTCGACTGTTAAGGACTGGAAAGAATGCAGGATAGCCGGTGAGTATGTTGGGAATGACAATGAAGATAGACGATCGTGGGCCATGAGCCAATATCTACTGTTCCATAATTATCGACATTCATGGAGGCACCTTCATGTTAGGATCATCCATAAGTGATCCGATACTGAACGTTACCGCGTCGTTCCCGCCAAATTTAGTAGTATGGTGAGGAAAATAACATTATCCGGTTGAACTAAGCAAACGCTTGCACCGAATCTTGCTCTGGACGGATGTGAGCATGGAATAAGGTTTGTACAGGGCGCAGGCCACACGTTTGCGGCCTGGATAAAGGTAGGATTGTAGATATAGAATATATATCGAGAGAGTTTTGACGTTCTAGAGATGTTGATTAGGTGAAATGGACATACTCTAAGCGAATTCTTATTTGGTTATCCTATCGGTAAGAAATCACTATTTCTATCGTTGAGATTTGGCCGTCAGGAACTCGGCTGAGACTATTTGAGCTCGGAAGCCTCATGGTACGAAGAGGCCACGAACGTTCACATAAGGAGGCAGCGTGTTGAAGAAACACACTGAAAGAAATACCAGCTTATCGCTCTCGTCTTGTCTAGATGTTGTTGTCGCCTCTATGTTCCGCCTTCAACGATTTCTCCACCTCATCGTAAGCGTCGTAGCCATATAGCCAGGGCTGAACAACAGGGCATGTCCATCTGCTAGGAAAGGGGCCCTCCAGCTCTTTACCCAGCTGCGAGAGGAATATATTGTCTCGTACTTCCTGTGCTGGCCCGTCTGGCAGATGGAAATCGTTACGCTAGAAGCATTACGAGTTAGCACTACGAAATAGCAGCAGACGCCGTATTGTATGTTTGCATTTCCTTCCAATTATTTTGGGCAAACCACAACGTACCTGTTTGAACGCTTCTTTGACAATAGCATCCCCTCTAGCCTTCCGTAGCCTCTCGTACATCTTTAAAGCTTTAGGTAGCTGGCATTTGGACCTGATGTGGCCGAGGAGGAGACCCAGAACAGCTCCATCTTCAATAGCCGAGTTTGCCCCCTGAGCGAGATATGGCAGCATGGGATGGCATGCATCGCCCCTGAACCGAGTGAACGTGATTAGTAGATGATATAAATGTGCAAGAAAGTAGGTACTTATATGGAACGTACACAAAGACGAGGTTCGCCTTCTCATTAACCCAGGAGGGGAGCTCGTCAACTGGAGAAGTCGATATCGTCAGTACTAAGCGATTGTATCATTTGGGAAGAGCTGCCATAAGGGGACATACTGTGCATCAGTCTCCATTTGTCAACATGATCGACCATATCCAGAAATCGGCTAAGAGTTGGATCCCAGCCCTTGAACAATGCCTTCATTTCCTCTACAGATCCAGGCTGTTTGCTTACGCCCTCGGGAAGATCATCCGGAACAAGGAGCACGATGTTATACTGCTTTCCAGCTCGCAGGGAATATCCAACGGCATGAGAGCCAGGTCCAATCCAGAAATGCACGGTAGGGTTGCTGACCCAGTCTCTTAACTTAGGCTCACTTATCTGATCCAGGTCAATCACAAGACGGTACGCCAAGTCGCCAGTGGGTCGTGGTGGATCACTTCTCCCGAAGGCGCAGGCACGGCATTGGGACCACAGGCCGTCCGCAGCGATGATAAGGTCGGCTTTTGTCTTCAGGCCCGACTCGGTTATGACTTCTGGGACACTAAAATCGATATTGCTGACCTTTTCACCAAGTTTGAATTGTACGCCTAACTCCCTGGCACGATCGTATAGGGACAGTTGAAGATCGACACGGTGCACGTCGATAAAAGGCGACTTGTACTTGTAGAGAATCTTCTTGTTGAATTCGGGCTCATGCGCAAGAATCTTGCCCGAGTACCGATGCACAGTCAAAGAGGTTGGTTCGGCAACGGATCTCCAAAGACGTTCTGACACATCCCATCTCTTCAGTATTCTTGAGGAGTTTGGGGTGACCTGCAGCCCAGCGCCGACCTTCAAGCAGGTGTCAGTATCTGTCTTCTTACTCTCATAGCAAATGTCAATCAAATAGCGACTGACCTCCCGGAGCTCCTGGGCGGATTCGATGACCGTTACGTAGTGTCCGGACAAGGCGGCCGCGATGGACGCTGCAAGACCGCTTAATCCTGCGCCGACAACAATGATGTCGAGCTGGACCCCAGCTCGAGGATGCATTTTGCCAGTTACCGGGGGAGATGGCAGGTGTGCGACAATGGGATCTTGCACAACATATGGCAACCTGGCTCCCGGGGCTTGTGGAACCGTTCCCGAACTGAGCCGCTCCGCCGCAAAGTCCCCCTTGCACCCGTTCCTCATCTCCGCAGTCACTGCAAAGCAGTGCAAAGGCGCTGCCCAGAAATGCGGGATTTGGCCAAGGGCTTGGGAGGTTAATCCCAAACTAATCAACTCCTGATTAGCAGTGCAGTAGATCTGGCCGATGAACATGAACTTGTTTTAGACTAGTCAAATTTCAAAGTAGCTATATAGGGCTACAGTATACAGATATCTATACTAAGACAGTTCAGGAAATCAAATCTAGATATCACCAGAGAGTGACTCCGCCATTGACAGGGAGCACCGCACCGTTTAACCAGCCCGCTCCCTCATCACAGAGAATTGCAACCACCGCAGCAATCTCCTCCGGCTTGGCATGACGGGCTGCAACAGGTGTCCGCTCTTGTCGAGCTTGCAAGTGCTTCAAGAATTCGCCCTGTACAGCGAGCACTCCTTCCGTCCCGACGGGACCTGGTGCAATAGCATTTACAGTACACCCATATCTACGTGGGAGATCCCGAGCCCAGCAACGTGTGAAACTCTCGATCATGCCTTTGCTTCCCACGTAGATGCTCATGTGGGGATCGGGGTCCCGGGAAGTGGAGCTTCCGATATTGATGATGCGGGACCCCGCGGAAGACAAGATCGGGAGAACCGCTCGGGTGAGGAGAAGTGTGCCTCGTCCATTGAGATTGACTGTCCTGTCCCAGGCCTGTAGAAGCTCAGCATCGGAAGCTTCCGTCACGTCGCAGAGAGAACTGTAGCCTGCGTTGTTGACTAGGATGTCGACTGTGCCGAAGCTATCTGAGGCGATGGCTGCGAGTCTCTTCGGGCCGTCAACCGTACTCAAGTCAGCTTCAACAATGATTGATTGAGAGCTAGTCCCCAAGCTTTCCTTGACAGCACGTGCTGCAGTCTCTTCAGATGGGAAGGGATAGTTGATTATGATGCTTGCGCCGCGTGATGACAGCTCTCTTGCAATGGCGGCACCAATGCCGGACGATGAGCCGCTCACTAAAGCCACTTTACCAGAGAGGTTCTGGTGCTGGCCGGACATTGTCTTCGGGTCTGCCATTGCGTGAGGATGGGTAACTAGAGACGACTTTGCAAGTGTGAAACATCAAAAATATTGATGAGTTGAAACCAGAGATGTCGCAATTATCCATGAGAAGGGTCTCGCACAACATGTTAATAACAACTAAGGTGTTAGCTCCTCACATCCGGATTAGGATTCCGATATTAGCGGTCCCGATCCAATGGTTGTTTCAAGCTCGGCTCTACAACGTTGACCCAGCTCTCGGCTGCCACTGTTAATATCGGCCACTTGTTGCTGATCTCAGCTTATAGATATGCAATTGATACCACCATCATCTAGGACATCAACCACTTTCAAAGCGTGATATACTTAAAGCCGTAATTGAAGAATGTTTCGCTTGTCTATCCACTGGCTGGTCGATCTGCGATAGCCTGAGACTGAAAACATGTAGAGTGGCTACCTTATCGAATTAGTGCCTTGGGACATGACCGTTTGACGCCTGGTCTTGATACACTGTTGAAATATTACCGCAAGAGCTAAGTGTAGTGCTTGTACTTGATAAGCCATTCCATGTGCTACCGTCAACACATATCTGCCATGTTTTGGTGTTTGAGCATTATCTATTTAGGAATAGTTTGTAGTTTGGACCGAATACTCGAATCTCGAACCTCTTCCTAGGTGAAAATTTCTGTTCTAACGAGAACCACCCCTCTCCTTCTCTTTCATAATGTACCGTAGAATTATATATGGTCTAGGATATGACAGGTGGGCCTTGGAAAATCCATCTAACTCCGTCGTCCGTCTGCGTCTGCTTGTCACGGGCGAGGAGGCTGGGGATGCTTCTGATGTACTGACTTCGGGCGGCACATTTGAGACTAAGTCAATATTCGGCAACTAAAGATGATGGAAGCGTCGTCGGATCAGAAGTACAACGCGGATTTACCTGCTTTCTCAACGCAGTCAAGACGTAAAAAATTGCAATATAGAACTCGAATCGAGGAGTAAACCATCGAGTTTGGAGCGACATTACGTTTCATACAGGTTGATTTCAGGGGTTTCGTCCACCGATGGCAACTTATTAAAGATCTGCTTGACATTCGTCCACAGGCATACGAAATTCAACCACAACCAACAGGAAAGAACATATAGAGAGCGCTTTCATTTGAATGATTTACAATTCAGGTGTACTATCGTTTTGTTTTAAAAGGCATTGCCGTCCAATAAAGGGTGAGATGATATTTTCTCGACAGCCTTCTATGCCACATTTACTCCTGGCATGTCCTGCGTATCTGTGGGGGAGATGTATGAAAAAGGTACAGCCAGGTTAAAAACGTCCTTCGGGTCATACTTCTGCTTGAGACACATGACAAACGGAAAGTTTGCTCCGTAAATTTGCTTCAGCGTGGTCCGGCCTGGCGGAGTGTGGTTGATATATGTGGTCGGAAGAATATTCTTGGAATCTGTTTGCAAGAGTGCGCGTAAAAAGTCCGTCTCCCAGCTCCGCGACTCTTCCAGGCCCTCCTCCGAACGCGGTGTAGCGAGAAGCTCCAACATATAGTGAGATTCCGTCGCCGCAAACACAGAATTTTGAAGACTTGTTTCTGAGGGCTTAGGAGCCACGTGAATCGCGAAACCGTTGCCAATATGCCTAGGCATGCTCTCAACGTATTTCGCCATGACGGCTACACTTTCATCGGTCAGCGAGCGAAGGTTGATGGTGTTGACGGACCCGCGACCGTCCTGCGGGATGGCCCAGTTGAATTCACTCATGCCATCGAGGACTGTCGTCTTTCGCACAGTGTTGTGAACACTTTTGCCTAGCTTTGAGACCTTCTCAAGCCACCTCAAGCCAATACTTTCGTTGTCGTCACTCCACATAAAGTGTGAAAGCAGCTGCAAGCCGTCCGGGGTACACAAGAACAAAGGGGCGACACTGATCTGGCCTGGCCATTCTTCAGTACGCAGTTCTTGGAGGCCTCGGCAGTAATTCGTGACGGTAGTTTTAATGTCCTCGGAATCGTATATCATAAACCCACTAAGGATCTATTCGTTGTTAGCATTTTTGGGCGTGGATAGGGTTGCGGGCGAATGATAACAAACCTCTGTGAGAGGGCGAACTGTAATTGTGATTTCGACGACAATGCCGAATGAACCACCAGCACCTCGAATGCCTTTCAATAGCTCTGGATCGGCATCCAAAATCTCTCCTTTCCAATTGACCACCTTAGCGGCAACTATCTGTTCGAATCCGTACCCGAAGTTGCCCGAAAACGGCCCATACCCGCCATATGCTGCCCATCCAAAGAAGCCAATGAAATGAACCATGCCAGAAGCCGTTACGACTCCTGCCTTGGACAAAGCTTCTACCAAGGTACCTGCGAGAATGCCTCCCCCGATTTTAGCGGACCTCTTACTATCGTCTACATGACAGTACTTAATTTCGCGCATGTCAATCGTGAGAGCGCCCTCAACCTGTGACTTGCCAAACAGATTGTTGCCACCAGAGCGAACAACAAAAGGGACGCCACTGGAGACACAGAATGATACAATCAACGAGACATCTTCAGCGTTCTGTGGTCGAGCAATGGCGATCGGTACAGCCGGGTTGTCCACAATAAATGTTGCACGTAGTGCCTTATAGTCAGGTGAGAAAGGTACAACGTACGGAATCTTTGGGTACTGCTGGAAGAAGGCTTCGACAATACGTTGTCGAGATTGATCTGAATCCGCCATTATACCTTCCCTTGTATTACTTCTACGCAATACGGGCTCGGAAGTTGCTGTAGCAGATAAATTATCCTTTGCCGGACGTAGCTGTATAAAGACAGATTAAATCATCATTTTCAGACTAAGTCTAATAATGGGGGATTGGCTTTCCGAAGGACACATATAGTACTTTCGGGAAGCCGACTTCCGAGGTTCTGACCGTTTCGCCAACGTCTCCACACGATCGCGTGTGCCATTCCTCACTTTCGCGCGGCCACGTGAAGAAACCCATTTCCGCGAAGCTACCTGGCTGACCCCGAGCAGCTTTATTGGACTCCTGAGAAGAGGCTGCTGAAAAGTGGTTAGGTTATTCCCTTGTCCCCAGCTGCTTCCACATGATTGGGATCATGATCTTTCGCCAACTTGGATAGGTACGCGAGTCTTTGGACTCACATATGATCATGAATACTCACTTTACACGTGACGTACGTGCTTAGAGTAAGGCAGCAAGCAGTGAAAGACTCCTTAAGATTTGTTCATAGTTGAGAACCTTTCGCCATACCGAGTAGTACAGCGATAGATCCTCAAAGGAAAGTTTTTTAGCCTTTCATATGAAATCGACCGTGAAGCTTCTGTCAGTTTACTGTATATAACTATGAAATTCTCTTGTACGGTTTCAGTTTTCTCTTATTCTCATCACAGGCCATCACTCTCATCGACTATCCCCATTTCACATCCCAGCTGCTATCTTCTTATTCTTTCTCAAGTTTGTACCCCAGGCCTTGCCACCATTAAAGAAGTATTCTTCTATCTGTTCCAAGCTCAGTCTACCTGTTTCCGGGATATATAGGAGAGTTAGGGCGAAAATAGCAGTAGTTATACCAAAGTAGAAATATCCAACATTTGTCCCCATATTACCATATTCCTCGTTAATCATATATGGTGTCCAGAAAGCGGCCCCAAAGGAAAAAATCTCATAAATGGCAATGGCATATCCCTGACCAATGGTTCGTAGACGAAGCGAGTGCATCTCAGCGGAGGACACGAACGAGATGGGACCACATGTGGCACCAAAGGTAAATGCCCAGATGCACAGAAAAGCAACCAGAACATTCTTGGTTTCCGAGTGTGACTGGCCTAGGATAGATGCAACTACTGCCAAGATGAGCATAGAGGTGCCCATGACAGCATAACCACCAAGGAGTGAGAGACGGCGCCCAACATACTCGCAAAGGAAGGGCCCAGGGAGGGTGCCGACGAGGACTGCGAGACAGGTAGTCAGCTAAGCTCTTAGTGTTGATAACGCGCTGAAAAACCTACCACACGAACTGATAGCCACATTTAGAGCGTATGGATTTGTGATACCTATTTGAGACAAGAACAGTGCCGTATACGGGATCACGAATTGAATGCCAGTGAGTGCGTTCCCGAGCAACGCAACCACAGCAATGTGTGTTCTCCTAAAGTCCACGGCACGGAAGATCTCCTTAAACGAGACCTCAGACCTCATCATTCGCTCGGTTTCAATATGTCGAACAACATCATTTATTTGCCAACTGATTTCAGGAGACTGGGGATCGAGTTGGTAGAATTTGGCAAAAGACAATCGCGCTTCATCTGTTCGCCCTTTACTCAAGAGCCATCGGGGGGATTCGTGAAATAGGAAACTGCCGGCAGTAAGAATGGTCGCCACAGGGACTTGGCAGATGATGGGAGTTTGCCATGCCCAATTGGTGCTTAATTTCGACGAGCCGACACAGACCTTGAATAGAAGAGATCAGCACATGTTAACTAATATAAAAGTCTTGCAGAGAAACGACTCACTGCTGCTGCAACGACATTGCCAGATGCCAGACCAACATTATATAAGCTCATCAATAAGCCTCGTTTCTGGGGGGCTATAGACTCAGAGCCCCAGATAGGAGCGGCTGTATATAGCATTCCAATGCCGATGCCTCCGATACACTTGCAAACCATATAAGCGAGGAAGTTACCCACGCTACCAGTCATACCAGCAGCACCAGCGGCGATCAGGACACACCCGATCTGGACGGATCCACGACGCCCAATGTAGTCTCCAACAAGACCCGAGGTGAAGCCACCTACAGCCATGAATAGCAATGTGAGCTGTACCAAGGACTGCTGCAACGCAGTTAGCGAGCAAATATGGATGGTTTCGCCGCTTGCGCCTGTAGTAGCTGTGCAGCTGCCAAAGGACTTTTTATAGGGCTCCATGAGCAGGACAATGCCTCCAAAGGCAGCATCAAAGTTAGCGAGCCAGCCAAAGAAGCCTATCCAGAATGCAAAGATTATCATGTGACATGTTGTTCTCTGCTGATGTATCATCTCAGATGTGGTGTCGGTCGTCTTCTTGGTTGTCTCAAGGTGCTGCGATGCTGGTTTAGATGCAAATGCTTCCATCGTAAGAAGCTTGAATATTGCATGCAATAATTGAGGTTCGACACCTAAGCCGGGGAGGAAAACAGTAATGTCTGGAAGAGGTAAAGGTATTTTGTGCAGGAGTTGTTAAGCTAATATTGAGTACAGCAAACAATAGTCAAGCTAGCCTGATGATTTTGCACTTCGACTAGAGTGAATATAGCATGTACGATGTGGTATAAATAATTCGGCCAAGAAGGTTTTGACGGCAGTCGGGGGCTGATCCTTTCACAGCTACTAGAGAACACCCCATGGGACCCCGCATTTCCACATAAGCCTTCCCGCACAACTTCAAAGTGTGTTCTTGCGAGCTGTGAGGCTGCCGGGAACCCGAAGTCATCTTCGGCATGCCGAATTACAGGGATCCACTCGGATTTTCGTGGCTATCATCATTTCCTGTGGTTCACTGGGCAATATATTGTTGCTCGGGATATCCTCATTATCAAGAGTCGCACTCCATGTTGGTTGAAATACTAATAGCTTCATGTCTTTGCTCCTCTTGTCTCCTTCTACGCCTCTTATCATCGAGAAGTTCACATAAATTGTCGTTATGTCTCCGAAGCTCACTGCCATTCAGTTCCTTGATTATAGCAAAGACTATCCTGCTCAGCATGCATTATACAGAGACGATATTTAGCTTATGCTTCCGGATCTAACAATAAGCTTATTAAAAGGCAAGCATGCGATAATTGAACACATCACAAGATCCACGAAGATGCCGAGGAGGCTGTCGTTCCCATAATCGTACTGAGTGACCGCAACAAGGTCTTCATGCAGATGGAAACGTACTTCAAGTTCAGGAAGGAGGTGAATCAAACAGTATTAAATTATCATGTTCAACTCGGAGATGTGTTAAAGCTCACCTGCTGCGCAATCTATGACTTGGATAAGGAGGGGAAAATGAAGCTTATCACAGGTCACTTGTTCAGCCACGAGCTACTTGCAGATGTTGATATGAAGGAAAGAATTCGAGATAGTGAGAGCCGGGCTGATCAAGACCTACGGTCATTCAACCACTGACTTACAATAGTCGATTCCATATCTTTCATGGAAAAGGGTATGATAAACGGTTCAGCCCTTGATAGCAGATGGAGAGAGAACAGGCGAAAAACAAGATAGGTGGTAGAAATTCCACAATCAACATTTAATAAACTCGAAAATATGTCTTGTGTGATTGGCCCATGCCCAATGAGGTAGTGTACTTGTCTGTCCTCGAAGTGAGACCACGGCGGCGCTTAGGTGGAAGTCATGAATCGAAAAACGAACAGAGTATTGATAGTGTGGTTTATGTTCTCTCCTTTCCATTTGAATCCAATACCTTCGAGGCGCTCATTTCAGTTCCTTGTATAGCGAATTACCTCTTCACGGAATACGTCATATAGACATCTTCGATTCCATTGCATTATCGTATCCTGTAGCTCATCAAAGATATAGAACGCAATGACAATGACAATATCCGAAGTTTTCGAATGCGCCCTGCTTTTGCCGGACCCACTTCCCGATGTCCAGCTCCAACAAATGATCCTACTTCCACCTAAGCAACATCGTCCGACCTAAATGGAGTGGCGAACATGCTTTGCTTCAAAGATCACGGATATGTACACGTAGCAGTTCTTATATTCGCGTTGTTTAACAGCTCTTTCAACAATTTGTCTAGTCTACAACGTCGATCTCAAACATCCACTCTGAATCTCACCATGACAGCGAATAATAGCAAGACAGAGCACCCTGATCAGTACCCCCCTATAGGAATGCAAATTCCAGAAGACCTCAAGGCAAATCCCCGATTCCAGAGGATCATCGTACTGTAGGCTATCAACTCAACCATTTCATGCTGCGTTTCAGGGATCCTCAAGAAACGCTGGCGTTGTACACTGATCTCATGGGTATGCGAACAAGTTTCACGACAAACACCGGACCAATTACTGTTTATTACCTTGGGTACCCTCAGACCCCTGCACATCGAGCTGATCCATCAGCCTTCTCTCGAGATATCCTCCGTCAACCCATCATGTCCCAAAATCTTGGATTGTTAGAACTATGCCATTATCACGGGTCAGAACACCAGCCTGCTTCATACATATACACTGGCAACAACCCGCCCAATCTAGGCTTTAATCATCTTGGCTTCACTGTGCCAGATGTTCGGGCTACTGTTGAGCGATTGAAGCGAGCTGGGGTGAAAGTTGCCAAGGACGTCGACGAAGGCCCAAATGACAGCATTCCAATCACTCACTGAGAAAAGGAATCTAAAGACATCGCGACAGCTGACATTGATTTAGGCTTCGTAGAATCCTACAACAAATTGCTTTCGTTGAGGATCCAGTTAGTCTAATTTCTTACCCCTTGCTTGTCTGAAGGATTTTGTCCAAGAGCGTGATAGCTTCTGACTGCATTAGAATGGTTATCTCGTCGAGTTAGTGCCTCAAGCTTTCAGCTTCTGATCAATTGGGCAATTTCAATGGGTGGTCTAGAAGGTGATGCAAGTTTTACTTGCGCAAAGAACTGGCAGTTTAATTAGGCCATTATGATCAAAAGATATATAGTCTCAAATTGCTTCACATGAGAGAGGTAGCCATTCCGGTTGTCACTCCTTTCCTAGAACGCCCCCGAACACTTTGACCTTGCCACCCTGACTCGCAGCTGCTTTGTATGCCTCCTGCTCACGTAATTTGTCGCACTCTTCATCGGCAACTAAAACGAAGTTATAGCGAAGTAACTTAGTCGCTGGGTGAACGTGGAACCTTTCGGCGAGTCCTTCGACATCCGACACCACTCCTAGGTCTACAACGAGGGACTCCTTCACTCCAAATACAGCATCTGAAGTCTCGTAAGGGTCCCCTCGTAAATATAGAGCGCTGAAACAATAATCAGCTAGTTTCGAACCACAGGTTTGATTCTCATTTGCCGTGTCAGGACTTACGTGATAAGTTGATCAAACCCAGCCTTCTTGAACATGAAATGCATATGGGCTGGCCTATATTGATGACGCTTTAGAATGCCTAGTAGCTTTCCTACGGGTCCGTCATCTGGAATTGGATATGGAATTGGAACTATCGCTTGAAAGGCGAATTCACCATTGTTATCGCTTTCTAGTATAGCTCGTCCATCAGGTTGTGATCGATCTGAGTATTGAACATCATAGAATCCTTTAGAGTCGGTCTCCCAGACATCGACAGCTACACCTGGAATGGGTCTTCCTTGAGTATCTCTCGTCGTGCATATCACGAGCAGCGGCTCTCCATCGGGATCGCAAGATATTTGTTGGCCAGACGCTACCGGTTTTGCATCATGCGTGTGGAAAGGACCAAGTACACTTCCTTCTGTTGAGTTGGACGGCTTTGGATGATCGATTGCGTCGACGAGGAGCGAAAGTCCAAGTATATCAGATAGCAGGACAAGTTCCTGACGCTTGTCGCTGCTTATCTTTCCTGCTGCTACGAGGAACTGTATTGCAAGCTCCCATTCCGTAGTACGAAGGCGGGTTTCACGAGCAAAGTCGTGTAGATGTGTCACTAGTCGTTCCAAAAGATATTTTAATCGGTTATCGTCACAATGAGAATTGATAATGTGAACATTTTCGGTAATATTGTCAATGGTCAGGTTTTTCAACACTGGAGACTTGGCAGAATGGTCCCCCATAGTGAAAAGAAAAGAATAGCTACTAAGTATGTGCAATTGATTCAATTGACGATTGTTTTGTTCGTTCGCGGGCCGCGAATCGATACGGCGAAGATTATTCCTTTGGTTGTTGATAACCGGAGGGCCAGCTTTCAAACATAGCATAGATACAAAGCTAATTATTTCTGTCAAGGATCATCCGAGTTTGATCGGCATAAGCCACCTTCCAGCTTGACTGACCAGGACAGTTGGTGCGCGGAACTGGGATGCTGCACTCGGGTACCACGGAATTTCCGAGTCGGCTGCTCGATCTTTCACATATGTTCCCCGTCGATTGTGTACTTCGCTTGCCTTCAAATGTGCACAGATCCAAAACTAAGGCATCTCTCTATACATAATAACGGTGCGCCCATATTATGTAAGGTTATGCCTTGTTAATAGACTCAAAAAATCAGATCACTCAACACCTATTGCAGGACAATGCATATTTTGGGCCTTTGCAATGGATCTATTCACGGCAACTCTGAGATTCTCCTTAAAGCAGCCTTGAAAGGGGCAATCGCTTTTGATCCTTCCATCACCACATCATGGATTCATGTTCCATCTGTAGCGCTTCCGAGAAACCACAAGCCACTTAGGGTTAACGCATCAATAATACCGAATCGCGACGACGAAGCCGCTGTCGGATTCAAGAATCAGGACCCTGATGACCGTGAAGTAGTGTTCAACGCCATTATGGAAGCAGACGCTCTCATCATTGCGAGCCCGGTCTATAGCCATCAGCCTGCTGGAACCCTTAAAGCACTTACAGACGCCATTCTCGGACCATACGCAGACGTTTCTGAAGCCTATCGCACGCTGCTCAAGCAAAAGTCCGGCGAGCCGGGCTTCGAGGATATTCAGCTTGATCCAAGAGAGACAAAACCCCGAGTCGCTGGGTTCATTGCGGTTGCCGGATCCTCTTCACCATTTCCCGAGCAATGGACAATGGCTTTGCCTTCAATGCATATTGTAACATATCCGATCCATGCTCGAGTTGTTGATCAGGTGGTCTTTCCCGGATTTGCGACAGCGGGAGCTGTCTTGTTGGATATAGATGATACTGTGGAGCGTGCGAAATGTTTGGGTGTCCGCGTGGCAAGTCAGATTGGAAGGCAATATGACGAAGTCAAATACTTGGGGCCAGAGGAGGAAGGCAGCTGTCCTTATTGTCATCTATGTAAGGTTGAATTTCGCGAAGACAATCATGTCGTATGCATTGTTTGTGGTGCAAATGGTACTCTTACCTCTGGACCGGATGGGAAGATACGACCGACCTGGGAGAAAGATTCAGATGTAAGTTGCCTGACTTTGAAGGGAAAGTGGAAACATCTTGACGATATAGCGGCTAGCTTGGGTTCACAAAGGAGCAAAATGCCCTCCGTTCAGGAGGCGCACGACTGCTGGAACAATATTCAAATACCCCTCGTTGATTTACCCAGCATGCATGCAGACACAACATCAAGCCTAGATAGAGTGAAAATCTAATACAAAAAAAAAAAATAATGATTTGGGTATTACTTCAGGTCTCGCATCTCAATTGTCACTATTTGCATCATCGCTGCATGGAACATTTCTACTATCCAAGTTTCGAGCTGCGGCTACAAAGTAGATTTGTCTTCCAATCTGGACTGTGTCTTAATTCATTATTCTATATGTTTCTTTGGATCACAATTCGTAGCTAAAGATATAGGGCAAACAGACACGAGAAATTCAATCAGAAGCTTTGCAGCCTCATTTGCTTGATTTATTTCATCTCGTGCCTGATAAGAGCATCGGATCACCCAAACCTAGTTATGCGGAAATCGGGAATTCCGAAGTGGTCCCACTTCCCGATGCCGACATTGAGGACAACCTCGAGACTACGTCAAGGGGGCTGCAACGCTGCGGCTGGGGTTACCTTGCCGCGCTAGAGGGTCTACAGAAACACCACTGGGAAAGAAACTGTTCGCCATTTACAAAGGCTATCATTACATGAGGTCAAAATCCCCGAGATGCTTGGAAACGGTCCTCAGGAAGGGCTTATAAAAATTACTTAGGGAAATTGCCACTGGTCCCTTCCCGGTGATGTCGTAACACTATCCCCCTAACGCGGTATGGTATCCATCGATGTACCCGACGACTCTCAGCAAGGACACGATCAATACTCAAAACCTGAGCCATATGGCCAATGTACACAGACGCGAATCTTATCTTCCGCTGGGTCGAACACAATGATCTTTCAGCAGAGATGAGATATACGATCGATATGGGAAATACCAAGATCGGCCGTCTTCCAAGTACTTCATGCGGGGGAGATCAAGGTTCTCAGAAGTATATAGTCTATAGAGCTGTAACTAATCTAGAAATAACTCGCATGTAGGCCCCTAATGCCGTTGATACATCGTCGACTGACCGCAAGGGTATGGTACAGTGATGCCCTGCTCTAGAGTCAGTGAGCATGTGCACGAAACTAGCTGGCCACAATCAACCCGCATTCACTGAGACTTGGCTGTCGTCCCCAGAGCATGCATCAAATAACAGAAGCCCTCTGTTGCCGGAGGAAGCAACGTTCGAGAAGGGTATTTTGATCTGATGGTTTTTATGCACAGCTGCATCAAAGAATCTGTTGATCGAAGTGAAAGAAAGGATGGCCGACTGGCTAGCTCGGCAAATCTGTTGCTAGAAAGCATGGGGTGGCCACTGCCAAATGCAATCCATCTTTGAACCTTGAGAGTTTCCTCGCCATCAAGTAGAACATCTTCATTGGTCAGAGAGGTCGAGTCAAGATAATCCACGTCGACGAGGCCGCCAGTCTTTCTGTTCATGATTGTTCCATAGGTCCAAAGGCAGAGGCCTACTTGATAAACAGCTACAGAGTAGATGTCTGCCATTGAATCCAAGGGCAGAGCCCGGAACAGTTTTAATAACTGGCCAGCATGCCAGAGGGCCTGTCGTGCGTCGCGTGTATCGACCCACTGTTGTAGAATGGAGTATTGGATCTGCGCCTCCTCAAGTCCTTCCTTTCCTGCAAGTAACTCCATCTGGTCCACTGAGGCATACAGATGAAACAAAAGAAGTTCAAAAATCAATAAGACAGTGACCGGAGGTTTTGCACTTGGTTGACGAAGTTTGAAGATCTGATCAAGTGTCTGAAAAGTTTTCAGCAGCCACTGACGTTGGCTATCATCCATCAGTACTGTCATTCGAGGGACGCTCGCCTCGCTTGATTTAGTTGTTGTATAAACGTGACACTGCCGATAATTCTGGACCATAGAAGCAATTCCGTATAGCACTGCAAGCCTTGCACTGTCCGTATCGTACAAGTCTGGAAGATCGCCGAGTTTTGACAAATCCGCAATGCATTGAACGACAGATGCATGAGGAACATTGGGCGTGAACTGGGAGCGCATTGTTTCTTCCCATGCTGACGCAGATGGGGCGAGCCATAATATGCGTGACTCTGGGAAACGCAATGAAAGTTCGGAGAATGAGAGTGGTGTACGGACAGACGTAACCAGCGATTCTTGCGCACAGTGCGCGTGGGTATGGTAAACGAGCCTGATAAAAGACTGTTGTTCCACCCAGTGCCGCCATTTCCCTTCTATCGTGCTTCCACCGTCCTGCGATGCCATATAGGCAAATCGTCGATAACAGCCTCCACCTCGAAGCATCTAATACATGTTAGTAAGATTAGCTTTATGCAGGATGAAGGCTATTCAGGAGTGGTATTACGTTGACCAAATTACCAATAGAGCCTCCAGCCATCTCCATTTTACGTTTATCGCCGCTCCATAGGCCTATCTGTATCTGGAGTGCATAAGCTTTCAGGAATTCCAAGTCGCGTGTCAATATACTCGATACCCTAGACTAAATGAGGAAAGAAATTAGTCTATAATTTTGTAGGTCGCGGGATTTCCCACCGTTTTCCAGAGCTGGACTGAGAGTATTTCATGTATTGCAAGACCAAACTTTTGAACAGCACGATTTGATGATCTCACAGCACCGCCAGCAACAATAGCAGCAAGGAGCTCTATGCTGACATGACTGGCAGAAAAAGTCGGAAGGTGTATCCAGGTATGTTCCTGGCGAATATGCCAGGCAAGGAACGACTTGACCAGATATCCGAGATCTTCACAGCTAGGGAACGCGCCAGCCATGCGAGTGAGATCTTCGGAATTACAGGCACCTACAAGCATTACCAGCAGCCTGTCGCGTGCAGCAGGAGGGAAACCCTCGCGTAGGATCGCGCAGTCCCATTTGTCGAGGTTTTCACTTGTGATTTTAGCTCCTTGGGTTGCCAACAGATTCTTCTCTTCGTCCGCCTG